ACTTAATTAAGCTACATAAATCACAAAAAAATTGTTTTAATCATAAAATTAATTGATAAAAACTAAAAGGTTCATTAAAAGATTTAATAAATGTAAACGATTTATAAAGATATAATACCTCCTTATCCAATAGGATCATCAGGCGAGAAACTTGTACTTTGATATTCCAAAGATTTTTGCTCGAATATAATTCTCTGATTAAATTAGATCTGCATGTAAAAACAAAATTCAGTAAACAAAACATAAACATATAATCATTAAGTATCCCAAATAAACACAATTTAAGCAATAATCACAAATATACATTTAAACATGGATTTTAAAAATTAGGCTAAGAATTACCCCGCCATAGATGACTGAATAAAACTGACACAAAATTAATGACACAAAATTTGCTTGGTTTGGTTTTGTATTGATACGAAATTTTGTTGGTGTCATATGATGCGTCAATTTATAATGGTAAATATCACAAATTTTAGTTCAATTATAATTAAGGAATAATTTTTATTTCTTATCATAAACACTATAAAAATTTATCTTATAATAGTAGGTATATAAATCCTATATCTAAAGATGATTATTTTAAAAGATAATTTTTAGTTTTTTAAATAAATTAAATCCTACTAAATCAATATTCGTTGTTTTTACTTACGTGACAAAATTCTTAAATCTCATTCATCACTTTTGTTTAGGTGGAAAACGAATTTTTTAATTTCAAAATAAAATAGAAATCTAATTTTTAATTGGTTGAAAAATGCCTACTTTATTATATATATTAGATTAGATTTTTAATCCGAGTTTTTTTTTCTGATTCTCCCTCAATAAAAGTGAGTTGTGACTCTTGTGAGTGTATTACAAAGTCTTCTGGCAATTGGTTAGGGAGGTATAAATCATACAAGGTATCATGTTATGAGAATAGTTTTTTTTTTCCTTTTGAAATAATAGATTCAATCGGAAATGCCAATATATTAGCTCTTGGATAGGAGGAATTGAAGACGAACCTGAAGCTAGAGACAAAGAACACCGAATGTAAAAGATTTAATTGTGACTAGAATAAGGGTTTCTTTTTCCCATGGTTGTTTATATATATATACGGGGAGGTTCCGCTGAAAACAAAGCTTATGCTGAAATCTAAAAACAAGCAATCTTAGCCATTGAATGTTCACTAGATAATCTGATGGTGTGAAACAACCCAGAGGTCACTATATACAAAAATAAGGTAATTATATCAAGTTATACTAATTTTGATGACATTTACACCAAGGTCACTATATATAGAAATGAGGTAACTATATCAATTTTTACAATATTTACTTAGAGGTCACTATATACAAAAATAGGGTAATTATATCAATTTTGACCACATTTACATAAAGGTCACTATATACAAAAATAAGGTAACTATATCAATTTTGACCACATTTATACAGAGGCCACTATATATAAAAATAACGAAGGTCACTATATATAAAAATAAGGTAATTATATCAATTATGACAACATTGACCACATTTATATAGAAGTCACTATTTACAAAAATAAGGTAACTATCATCAGATAACTTCTCCTGTGCTCCTCCTTGTCATCAAATAACTTCTTCTGCTGCTCCTTATCATAAGATAACTTCTGAGCAACCTTTCTCTTGTTGTCCTTTATCCTCTGATTGTCCCTTCTCCTAATTCATTGAAACAATACAGCACCATAATCCTAATCAACAACATTCACAGCAACAATATAGCATAATACAAAAAATATTAGAAAATCGAAACAAATTCACACACAAATTCTTGCAGAAAATCCAAACAAAAATTTCATTTCAACTCTTAAGATCTTCCATTGAGTGTACATTTCTCCAACTACTTCAGATTAACAGCAAACGCAAACCAAATTCGATAAACAAAGTAAAAAATACACGAAAAATAGCAACGAAAACTCAACTAAATAACAATTAAACTACTAACAATAACAATAATAATCTACTTTCTAAGAAGATCATCAGAAACTTCATGCAGGGCACGTTTGATGCTGGGACAGACACATTTTGCACAGGGCTACAATGATCAATGGCAATGTAATAACACAGCCACACCTACAAGGTGTAAGAGAGTAAGCAATATTTAATTGAAAGCCACTCACAACAAGAAGTAGTCCAACAAATTCAAGCCACCCCTCCTTCCGTCTCCTAATTCAGACCATGGCCTCTAAGCTACTTTGTAATCAATAATATTTCCATCAAGACGAAGGACATGGAAACTAACTTCTTGCAGTCTTATTGAACATGATGACCAAAAATAGAGTTCAACACTGGTCTAGGGAGTCCAGCCTGTGATTAAGTTATCAGTAATTGTCTAAGACTAATAGATAACTTGAAAATAGATGCAAAATGTATTTCTAATCAGAGACTGGTTGATCGATAAATAGGAAGATATTCATTTTCCACGAAATCTCTCAGTTTTTACATTTCTCTCTTGCAAATGAGAAGGGATAGTCATCAAACATAATCAAGTTCATGACTAAAGAATGAAAGTACCTCATGAAATAAGTTAGCAACATAAAGTGCTGATAAAGGAGTTTGTTCTGCTGTCTTTATAACAACTATATTACCACAAGCTAAGGCAGGTCCAACCTTCCAAGAGAACATTAAAAGGGGAAAGTTCCATGGAATAATCTGCCCTGCTACACCAATTGGTTCATGCAGAGTCTGTACATGATACGGTCCATCAGCAGGAACGGTGAGACCGTGTATCTTACCTGCCCAACCTGAGGATCAGAAATCAAAATAAGTTTTCTGACAGTAGCTTGTTCTAGGGCCACAAAATATAAGAAATGCAACCTTACTATATTAGTTACTTATTTACAAGAAAATGCCATAGCTTAGGGTAATCTTGGTTATGGAGTATTTACTTACCAGCATAATACCGGAAAAGGCGTGCAACCATAGGTATTTCAATATTGGCAGCTTGCTCATAAGGCTTTCCATTATCCCATTTTCTAAAGCAGCAATTGCATCATTATGTTTTTCAATAAGATCTGCAAACTTCAAGAGGATTTTTGATCTTTCCTGCAGTAGATCAACAGTAAAGTTGGCTTAAGGCATATTTACAACGTAAAATCGAAGTATAATTTCACGAATTTTCGGAAATTTAGTTACATAAGTAGTCATCTTTGGCCATGGTCCTTCATCGAATGCTTTCCGAGCAGCAGATACTGCTCTATTCACATCTTCGGCATCTCCTTTAGCAACATCAACAATCACTTTCCGAGTCCGATTAACAATAATCGATTAACAACTAAAACAAAATATCGTTCAAATCTACTCCTATGAAAATATACTGAAGTCGAAACTCAAAAATGCAAATCAAATCGATAATTTCCACCAGAAAAAAAAAATATATATATATATATGTGTGTGTGTATTTATATATATATATATGTGTGTATATATATAATATATATATATGTGTGTGTGTATATATATATATATATATATATATATATATATATATATATATATATATATATCATAAACGAAGAACTCAAAAAATACACAAATCAGAAACGGAAAACAAAAGCAAAAGCAACACATCATAGTAGCAAGATCTCAAACTAAAATCAAGCTAAAATCTAATTAAAAACCTAATTTACACAAAATACGATAAATTAAACAAATGAATCTCAAAGAATGTTATACGAAGAAATTAAGTTAAATTTGAACATAATTACCCAAACCTAGGCCTGCTAATCTCTCTCCTCCTCCTATACTCAACAGTTAAGACAAACCCAAACAATATGCAATATACACTGGAATTAATATCTAACAAGCCACAACCTCAACAAAACCTTCGTTTTCTCTTCGTCGCTTAAGTTCACCACAATAATGGCAACAAATACAAAATTAGAATCGTGAAATTCAAATGGAACAAGCCACAACTGAAATTAAAATCGAAACTCAAAAAATTTGAATTGAAAAATTAGTTTGATTTTAAAAAAAACTTAGAAAATACAAAATTAAACATAAATATAGAACCACAAAATAACATTATAGCTAAAAAAAACAATATGAAGAAATTAATTTGAATTTAAAAATAAATTCACGCTAAAATAAAGAAAATTAATCGGATAATGTAAAAATGATATAATTAGTGAAATCAAAATCGATTTACTTACTTGATACTAGATCGTAGACGATAATGATAACGAATTTGACGAAGAATCAAAGCTATTACATTATTGTGTTTTTGATGTAGCATGAAATTAGAAGAAGAATCGAGAAATTTGAAGTACTGGAGCTTTGAACAAGAGAGAGAAAGGAATGAAGTAGATAGAGAAAGTTACTGATAAAGGCAATAAAAAGGACGAAGATCGCGTGTTTGTTTCCTCTAATATCAGCCAGTATATATATATATATATATATATATATATATATATATATATATATATATATATATATATATATATATATATATATATATATATATATATATATATATATATATATATATATATATATCACTAATAAATAAAGTCGGTCTCGCAGCCAGGCCACAAGACAGCGACACTTGGCATTCCAATTTTTCGTCAAGTGTCGCGCCATGTAGGACATAAATACGTATTATTGTGACACATATGATGATAAGTAAGCGATTTTTGGATAGATTTTTTAAGATAAAATTGTTGCATTGAGTTTTATTATCGATAAAATTCTAATATTTCATATATACAAAATTAATCATAACTTTTAATAAATATACTATTGCTCAATTCCATTTCCATCATCAAATTCGTTTTAAAAAGTTCTTTAAAATAATATATATATATATATATATATATATATATATATATATATATATAGAAATGGGATCATGTGATAACCCCTCTTCTATGTGAGAACCCATTATGTGTAAGAACTAATCTGGACCGTAGGATTAGATTTGATCTGACCACTCAAAATGAATTGGTTAGTAATAGCACTTTTGTAACTTTTTATGCATACTTTCCCCTTTCTTTCTCCTCATTCACGATCTGATTTATTTTACGGTTTATTTCCCCTTTCTTTTTCTCTCTCTAGACTTACATCAAACAGCTCTCTCCTCTCATAAATTTGGGTGCAAATTCCTTCAAGAAATAAAGGTTTGTTATTCAATTCTTATGATTCAATTCTTTCTATTCAGTATATTCTCTTTTATATATTCTCATGATTTTTGTTTCAATTTTTGCCCTAATTTTTGTGATTTATATGCTCTTTTTATGTTTGATTTATGCTTGATTTTCGATTTATGTTCCATTTTAATTGATTTATGTGATTTCTGAGTCGATTTTTTTAATCGAATTTAAGTGATTTATGAGCAATTTCATGAGGCGCATTTCAGAGCGATTTTTGTAAGCAATTTTTTTTTATCGAATTTATGCGATTTATGGGCGAATTTTTTGGTCTATTTTTGTTCCATTTTTTATTGTTTTGTTGCTTTCGATTTTAATTTCATCTTATTTCTGTTTAATTTTTTTTGTATGATTATTCAGTTCGTTTTTTTGTTTGATTATCCACTTCCAATTTTTTGATATTTCGGCTTTATCGTTCTTTGAATTTTGGTTTGATCGACAATGGTGAGATAATCTCCAATCTTATTGAGCATTTGTTTGTCATTTGATTCGAAAAACAACGGAGTAAGAGAAGAGACGAGTTGACATTTTGAGAAATTCGACAATGTCGTTATTGTCGGCAATCAGCGAGGAACTCGGCGAGATTGATGGACAAATCAATGACATTTTCGTGCATTATCGTAAGATTTATGTCATTTTCCCCAATTTTGTGAAATTTAATTATTTTTTGTTCCAAATAATTTAAATTGGTAAATTGTCGTATTGTGAGTTGTTCTTAGAAGTCTTTTGATTCATCTAATTTCAGCATTGGGGATTTGATCGACGCTTTGTTTTTGTTGCTTACAAGTTGCAATTGCCTGATATTTAGCTGTGTAATCTATTTACTGGGATAAGTTTGGGCACAGAGATTTGTTTATATATATATTTTTGCTAGTTTCATTAAGTAGAAAAGTCTGTCTTAGCCATTGAATATGGTTAGCTTCTTGGTTCTTCATATACTGACTCTTTTATCCTCCTCTGCAATACAGGTGTGTCATTGAAGTCTGTAATGGCGTGACCTTTCTTGACCTTATAGTCATGCAAATTGAGGTCTAGCATTCTATTTTCTTTCGGATTTCTGTATATTTTGATTCATCTTGACACTTACCCTCTTGTGAATGATACACAGAACCTTAACAACAAGAATGGATCCAAAGTGCCTTTGGTTCTAATGAACTCATTCAACACACATGATGATACACTAAAGGTAAAGTACCCATATAAATATTCTATACTGATTAGTTGTTCAACCAGATGGATAGTTCTCTTTTTGAAGAAGAGCAACAACTGATTAGTTAAGAAGAAGATGGTGATTTAGTATTTACAATTTGAGCACTTTGTATATACTTCTTAAAAGTCATTTGCTAATATTTTATTTAGATGAAAGCAACTAAAATTACTTGTATTTCACTTGTGGTAGGAATGCTCGCTGAACCAAGTAAATGAAATGATGCTTCATTGTGATCAAGCCCTGCAACATGTACATTGGAACGCTATATTTGAGATGCTGCATATGGGAATTGTAGACAACAATTTAAGGTAGAGCTTTAGTCCTTGTCACTATTGCTTTAATGAGAGTATATGTTCATTTCATTCAGCTATATACTGCTTACTTTTAGATTAAACTGATTTAGCATGTATGTGGAACTGGAATAGGAAACAGGGTGGCATTTATTGCACTTTTTCACTACTTAGGACACTAAACTTCATTACCTTAGGACTGTCAAATTGTTTTCTGTTAATAGCATGCGATGCCTTTTAAAGCTTATTACACTTTTCCTTCCGTCCTTCAATCCCTACACATGATAATACCTCCACTTGTACTTTAAGATTTCTACTTTGATTGACTATACTATTCAAAACACTTTGTATTATATAGTGCTTTGATCCGTTATTTACTGTTGTTACTTAAGTTTCTAATCTGTAATATTCTTAAGACATCCTTCTTTTTTGGGGACTAGGGTTGGTTAATAAGCTTACATATCCACATTAATGTCACTACATTTGGTAACTTTTTTCTGATCAGTTTGTTGTTAAGTTAATTGCTTGCAATTTTATGCTCATATGTGGCTTTTTGATGATAACAATTAAACCTAGGATAATCACAAATAAAACTCATGACTCATAACATAGAATTGTATGGAGCATTATATCACATGTTAACTTTAGAGCTGAAATTGTAGATAAAGTGCATTGCAGCTTGAAGATTCTTTTATGTGCTGAAAGTTAAACCTGTATGTTTGGTTTGAATTGCGCAACCAACTTGGCTGCAACTTTGGAGGGCTGCAGCTTCTATATACTCGATGTGCAATTTTCTATCTTCAAGGGAAAACGTCAGCTGCTGCTGATCATTCCTTACAACTTCTCTAAATCCCTTGTTTTCAATTATAGTACTCTTTTTTTTTTCCCTCCCTTTTTCTCTCATAGTTCGAGGAGATCCTCTGATCTCCATGGGCATTTACCAATCTGTGCTAATGGAGGCAAGTGGACAAACAACCTCAGACCTACATGAACTTATGTGGTTAATCTGTGAGTCGGCTTCCTATAACTCCATTGTGTTATTATTGAGATTTTTGAATGAATGTGGATGATACTCTGCTAATTACAAAAATATCATATGCTTGTTGATTGCTCATGTGGATGAAATGAGCAAAGAAATAATTGTTGATTTAATGAATGATTAAAGAAATGTTTGCTCATTTGACAAATGAGCAACTAACTATTTGCTCATTTGCTAAATGAGTAAAAAAATTGATTGCTCATTTCCCAAATGATCAAAAATTTGATTGCTCATTTCCCAAATGATAATGAGCAACTAAGTTTTTGCTCATTTATTAAATTAGCAACTAACTATTTGCTCATTTGCTAAATGAGCGAAAAATCGATTGCTCATTTTCCAAATGATCAAAGAAATGTTTGTTTATTTTACAAATTATTTGCTTATTTGACAAATGAGCAAACTAATGGTTGTTCATTTCACAAATGAGCAAAGAAATGAGCAAACTACACTCAATTAGCATGTAGAGTAGTGTGAAAATGCAGAGTTTGAAAATTTTGAGTAGTTAATGAAATTTAGTTCTTTTGGCTATTGAGAAAACAATACAAAAGACACCCACTATTACAAGTTATAAAATTGCAAAACAATTCTTTGCTCATTTTTCAAATGAGCAAACTATTTAATGCTCATTTGTCAGATGAGTAGATAATTTTGGCTCATTTTGTCAAAAAATAATATTTATTCTTTACTAATTTGTCAAAAATGAGCAAATAATTCGTCAAAATGAGCAATTAAATTTTTGCTCATTTGTCAAATGAGCAATTATTGAGCAAAAAAACTCAATGCTCCTTTGTCAAATAAGCAAACTATTTAATGTTTATTTGTCAAATGAGCAAATGATTCTTGCTCATTTTGTCAAATTAATGCTCATTTGTGAGTGTGTTTGAATGTTTCAAATTAATGTAAACTATTTAATGCTCATTTTTTTAGTTTTCTTTCATTTTTGTTTTTTGTGTTTTTGTTTTCTGGTGTTGGATCTGAATGTGAATATTTTTCAGAGCTCTAAATCTGAGTATAATTGCAAGAAATTGATTGAGGCTATAATTTTGTTGCTTAAGCTTGTGGTGTAGATGATCTGAACTTCTGAAGTGTGTATATAGTTCAAATTGAGGGTTGTTCAGAATAGTTGTATTCTTTTGTGATTTGAAAACAATTAAGATCTGGTATTTTGTTTAATTGCAAGATAGTTTATCAATTTTTCTGGCAGTTATAATTTGAGTAAAAAAAAAAATTGATCTGGGATTTGGCCATTATAGAATGTCTTACTTATGTATGTGGAACTGGAATAGGAAACAGGACGGCATTTATTACACTATTTCACTACTTAGGACACTAAACTTCATTACACTAAAATAATTGATTAGAATCATTAGCAAATCATTATTGTTAAACAACCATATATAGGATATATCTTTGGCTGACTATTGCAATTTACTTATCGAATACTCCCAATGAAATTCAGGTTCCGGCCCCGCATCCTCATTGATGTAAGTCATATAGACATTACGACAACTGTCTTGGGTTTCAAGATTCCCATGACAATCATGATTGCTCCTTCAGCTATGCAAAAAATGGCTCACCCCGAAGGTAAAAATTCAAGTCCTTGATGTTCATCTGAACGTTCAACTATTCTACTTTGATATGTCAATTTTAGTTTTGGTTTATTGATGCTCATATGCAAAAAAACTAATGTAAGTCATTCTAAAAGTATCCTCAATATGCAATTTGGTATTGTTACTGCTACTCTTGTTTTCAGGATAGTTGGTCAAAATTAACACAAGGCCAGCAGACACCTGCTGTCCTGTAGCCTGTAGGCTTTAGTAATACATTGATTTATGATCTGAATATTAAAAATCTCAATCAACTTGATATTTTTATTTTAATTTAAAAGCAGTATTGGATCAATGCTTTGAATCAAATGCTCTGAACTAGATGCTCTATCATATATGAATATGATTTTGAAGATGATACTTTAATTAATAGTATTCACAGTCTGACACTCGTCAATACTCTAGTCTCATAGTCTCATGAGCCACATTTTATATTAGTTCCTGCTTTTAAAGTGTATAATGTGGCATGTACTTGCATAAGGTGCATATATATGAGACTCCCCAGGGCATCCTCACCATGCTATTATTGTTTCTACTATGACATTCATTTTCTTAGTTTCCTCCTGAATAGTGGAGTGTTAATTTCTTTGTCTAAGCTTGCTGTATAGATACTCTGTACTGAATTGAGAAACTGGAAAAACCTCCTTTTTTGAAGTGATCATTTTCTTGCAGGAGAATCTGCAACAGCGAGGCAGCGAGGGCAGCATCTGCTGCTGGCACAATTATGGTTTTGACTCACATTTCTTTCCCTTCCTATTTTTCCTCTCTTTTTGACCTTAAGTATCAAATTCATTCTTTGATTTGCATGTGTGATTATTTGATCTAGGCATTGTCTACAATGGCCACATCTAGCGTTGAACCTGGAATTCGATTTTTCTAGCTTTATGTGAGTAGTACAAAAGAAATTGTAATTTAGTAACTCCAGCATTTTTCCAGCTTGCTGATTTAATGAATAATTAAACAAATGTTTGCTAATTCCAATTTTAAATACGTTAGCTTACTAGCTCAAGGGTAGAGCATTGTGCAAATGCACAAAAGATGTGGGTTCGAATCCCACGTAGGTTCTTTATGTAAAGTGGAGACACAAGTTTGTATGAGAGTTTAATTGTAACAAAGTTTATATAGTTATAAATCATTTCAAACCAGTTTTTTGCTCATATAATTTAGTACGAATTTGATTTTTTTTTTCTTTTAATTAATTTTGTTTATAGAGATAACCTATGTAGGAATTGAACCTACATCCCCTATGCATTTGCATAGTGCTCTACCAATTGAGCTAATAGGTTTTATCATATGTTTTAAATCATTTTCTATGTTATAAATTTTTAATCAGTTCATTTGATAAATCAACAAAGAATTGTTTGCTCATTGATAAAATGAACAAAGAATTGTTGCTCATTTGATAAGTGAGCAAAGATTTGTTTGCTCGTCTGATAAAAGAGCAAAGAATTATGTGCTCATTTAATAAATGAGCAAATAATTGCTTGCTCATTTGACAAATGAGCAAGATTTATTTGCCCATCTGACGAAATGAGCAAAGAATAATTTGCTCATTTGACAAAATAAGCAAAGAATAATTTGCTCATTTGAAAAATGAGCAAATAATTACTTGCTCATTTGATATCATACACAAGCCAAATAAGACAAATATTATGCATCATCTCTTATAAGAAAATTTTGTAATACTTGAGGGCTAAATTATAAGACAAATATTATGACCAATTTATTCCTTGATTTTGCTTATTTGTACAGACAACTAAGAATTAGTTTGATCATTTGACCAAAGCTCTTATCTTACACCACAACTCCACCTTCACCTTACACCACAACTCCACCCTCACCTTACCCAATCACACGCACAACTCCACCTAAGCTCTTATCTTACACCACAACTCCATCCTCACCTTACCCAATCACACGCACAACAACAACAATAACACCACAGCAGGCCACACATCCTAATATCTGCGCCACCAACCATGCCCTGCTACCAGCAATTTTGCAGCCATCGTTCCCAGCCAACACTAAGCTGCTGCTATAGTCCTCACAGCCACTCCACACATTGCAGCACACCAATTGCTCGTCCGATAAATGAGCAAAGAATTATGTGCTCATCTGATAAATGAGCAAATAATTGTTTGCTCATTTTGTATATGGACAATGAACTTTTGCTCATTTGACAAAATGAACAAAGAATTGTTGCTCATTTATCAAATGAGCAAAGAATTGTTTGCTCGTTTGATAAATGAACAAAGAATTGTTTGCTTGTTTGATAAATGAAAAAAGAATCGTCTGCTCGTTTGATAAATGAACAAAGAATTGTTTGCTCATTTTGACAAAATGAACAAAAAATTGTTTCTCATTTGATAAATGAACAAAGAATGTTTGCTCATTTGATAAATGAGGAAAGAATTATTTGCTCATTTGATAGATGAGCAAAGAATTGTTTGCTCATATGATAAATACCAAGATCATCATCTGTTCGAATACCACCAACTAAGACATTAACCCAACTACACCCATCTGCCACATCAATTTGACTACCCCTAATAACAAAGAGCAGTTCATTTTCTACATCAAAAGTATCTGAAGTATTACCTACGAACTCATTCAAAACAAACTCATTGATAATAGAGTACTAAGTCACAAGATTTCTAACAAGCATTTTATCAAACACCTTGTATGCATTATCAGGATATTCATAATTATCATAAAAATGCACCAATAACCCATTATAAACCAAGTTTTAATTGCAACACGATTACAGAATTCATAACAAAAATTAATCAACTAAGTAAAAGGATTCCGTCAACACAAACAAGATAATGATAAACAACAACACTGCGTAAATTCAAAATACTGACAAAAATTAAGAAAATTATATTCGGAAAAAACTAACATAACTTTTGTTGATTGTTTACCTGTATAATCTATGAAGCTTGTTGATTCTTGTTGCTGCTGAAATCTGACAAAAATTGAACGGAATTGTATTTGCTCATTTTAAATTTTGTTTGCTCATTTTAATCCTGTTTGCTCATGCAATACGAAAATCCTAAATTGGAAACACTAAACTAAAAAAATCTAGTAAAACTTAGAATGTTAAATTCGAATAACCAAAATTAAGAGCTATCAAATTCGTAAAATTTCATAATACAAAAATCGAAAATTAGAAAATCAAATTTGTAAATTATGACGAAAATACTATTTTGGGACAAATTAAAATCAAATTAAGAGAAATTCGAACAAGATTATTTAAATTTATCAAAATTAGAACAAGTTGATTTGAATTCATCAAAATTCGAACGAGATGATTTGAAATCATCAAAATTACAAAAATCAGAACAAGAAGATTGAGAATTCAATTGAAATTATCAAAATTGAAATTAAATTAAGAAAAATCTGAAAAGTACCAATTGAAATTCTGCAACAGTGAACAAGAGGAGAGAGAAATAATCGATCTTTAGTTGTCTCCATTGAAACCACCTTCAAGTTTTGTAGAGAGAGAAAGAGGAGTATACAAATTATACGTAATTGGGGCTGATGTTTTTGTTTTTAAAATTACATTATTGTCATTACTAGTTGAATAATCTCAACAGTTGGATCTTATAATATCTAATGGTTGTGATGAGTTCTCATATATAATAGTGTTCTCACATAAAGGGTGGTTCTCACAGGATCCCGACTCTCTCTCTCTCTCTCTCTCTCTCTCTCTATATATATATATATATATATATATATATAGGAAGACTCATATAAGAATCCATTATATGTAAGAACCAATTTGGACCGTGGAATTAGATTTGATCTGACCGCTCAAAATAATTTGGTTAATAATGACATTTTAGTAATTTTAGCTGCACTTTCTCCTTTATTTGTCCTCATTCACGTTTCATTGCCCTTCCTTTCTCTATCATCATACAACTCTCTCTTCTCTCATACTTTTGGGTGCAAATTCCTTCAAGAAATTAGGGTTTATTTCAAGAAATAAGGTTTGTTGTTCAATTCTTATGATTCAATTCTTTCTATTCATTTTTTTCGATTCTCATAATTTTTGTTGCGGTTTTTTCGAGCATTTTTATGTGATTTTTCTCAATGTTTTTTTAGCGATTTTACTCAATTTTTTGAGCTATTAATTAAGCAAAATCTTAGTGATTAATTTGATCGAATTTCTGAGCGAATTTTTTAGCACATTTTTTGACCGATTTATGCGATTTTTTGATCAAATTTATGCGAATTCTGAGCGTTTTTTGGTCGATTTATGTGCGATTTATGCGATTTCTGTGCGAATTTTGATCTTGCGATCTTGGTTCAATTTTTTTTGTACGATTTTATTACCTGCACTTTCAATTCGATTCTTCAATTTTCAAGTCAAATTTTGATATTAAGGACCTTTACAGACTTATTTTTGTCAATTAGTGTTATGGTTATACACTAATAATACTTACTGTTATTGATTATTGCGATTATTTTGATATTGTAATTGCGCTTATTGTGACTAGATGTAAAGCAGTGCTTTCGCCTCATTTTGGCGGTCCTCAATTTCTTGAGCTTCGTGACAATGTTGATGTTCCTGATCTTAAGCCTAATCAAGTTCTTGTTCGTGCTATTGTAATCAAATTTACCTGTGTGGTGCTTGTGCTGATTGTAGAGGAATTGATGCTAGTACTTGAATAGATAAGTGGTACAGAAATTGAATACATTAAAGATCATCAATAGCTATATACTATGAATTATGTATGTGTTTCTTGCTGGAGAGAAAGTTGGTATTTGTTTCATCACATTAAAAGAGTTTGATGGAAGAAGCTGAGATCCTTCTTTACTGCCTAATGTGTATGCTTCTTTTTTTCCCCTCTGCGGTTCAATTTTATGTTTATGGAGTCTTTTTCGACTCTTTTTCACACAATTTATTTTCCAGTTTCATGATCCCATAAATGTTCATGTATTTTCAATTTCTTGTCTTAGAAGCTCAACTTATGTAGGAGGTTGTGTGCTAGTCTTAGTGACAACTATTAATGCCCTCTGTTAAATACTGATTTGACTCCACCACAAGGATGTTGGGGATACCAAATTTGAGTGCCATGACCTGAAAGGCTGATGAGGGAAATAGACATTGGAACTTTCCTTTTCGTTGTTTAATTCCTACTCGTATCAAATAGTGGTTTGACCTGCAGGTGGTTAAGACATCAGCCCATAACCATCTCTAAGAATTGCTATAGGCCAAACTTTTGTGCTTTGGGCACCTTGGTTTATTGTTTAACTTCCAACACATATTTTTTTGGCTTAAATACTCCTTTATGTGTTATGGAACTTTCTCAGTTAGATGATTTCTAGAGCACTTAAGTGAAACTTGCTGGAATTCTTCTTTTAGCTTGAAGGAAATTGCATATTTGAATCTGTTTGGAAAAATTAGAGCTCTTACAGATGGTTTGGTGCTATGGCTCACAAGACAGGTACAAGAAAAAGTAAGGATATAGTGAAAATTTATTCCCTGTAACTAATGTGTATCACTGCTATGTTGTAAAGTTTGTATGGCAAATTGAAATTTAATGGTTTTTGTGTGAGTGTGTAACATAATTTTGAATAAGTATTGTTTGAGTTGTGCTGAGGAGGAAGTTTAGTGTAGGGAAAGTTAAGGTTTACATTCAAATGTTTATAACATTAGCCTACTAGCTCAACGGGTAGAGCATTGTGCAAATACACAAAAGATGTGGGTTCAACTCCCACGTAGGTTTGTTTGTATGATGCTGAGACGAGCTTGTATGAGAGTTAAGTACTTGTATGAGAGTTTCTTTGTAACATAGTTTCTGTAGTCATTAACCATTTATTGCTCGTATACCTTAGTGCTATTTGCCTATTTGGAGATAATATGGTTTACTGTTGACGTTTTTTTTTTTTTTTTTTTTTTTTATTTTTTTTATAGTTATTTTTAGAGATAATCTATGCAGGAATCGAACCTACATCCCCTATGCATGTGCATAGTGCTCTACCAATTGAGCTAATAGGTTTTTGCTTATGTTCTAAAGTTTTTTTTTTAAATTCTATGTTCTAAATCTTTTCTTCTATGTTTTAAATGTATATGTCTATGTTCTAAATATTTTTTATTATGTTCTAGATATTTTTCTTATGTTCTAAACATTTTCTGCCTATGTTCAAAATTTGTTTTCTTATGTTCTAACTTTATTCTGCTTATATTCTAAATTTTTTTCCAATGTTCCAATTATTTTGTATGTCCTAAATTTTATTCCTATGTTCTAAAGTGTTTATGCATATCTTCTAAATTTTTTCTCTATGTTCTAAATTAATTTTGCCTGTGTTCTAAATTTCTTTTCTATGTTTTAAATATTTTCCCTATGTTCTAAATTTTTAAGCCTATGTTCTAAATTTCTTCCTATGTTGGAAATTTTTATTCCTATGTTCTAAAGTTTTAAAGCTTATATTCTAAATTTTTTAAGCCTATGTTCTAAATTTTTATTCCTATGACCTAAAGTTTTTAAGCCTCTATTCTAAATTTGTTTTGCTTATGTTCTAAATTTTTTCCTATAAAGTTTTTATGCCTATGTTCTAATTTTTTTTTCCTATGATCTAAATTTTTATTCCTATGTTCAAAAGTTGTTAAGCCTATGTTCTAAATTTATTGTTGTGCCTATTTTTAAAACTTGTCTTCGTATGTTCTAAATTTTTTTCTAAATAAAGGAGATGTCATGAGAGCCTCAACAATGCAATCGACATACAGAGAGCATAGCTGCATAGCTCTAGCCTAGGATACACCCACAAGATCATGTACATAAGATTAAGCACTACACCCACATCCTGAATAGTTCAAATAATCAAACTTGTCAATGTCAGGACCTATACTTCAGAAAACCAAAACAGAAGGTGGAAAGCAACAATAGGATATATATTTTTCTCTACCAACTACAAACATTATGAGATACAATTTCGTTGAAAAATTAAGAGTATAATCAAGAGTAGCGCCGACCAACCACCCAATAGATCCATGAAAAATGATATCACTAACAATTAAGAACACAACAAGAGGTATCACTTACTTAGAACATGCTGAAAAAGAGTCTAGAACATGATGAAAAAGAGTTTAGAACATGCTAAGCTAATTTACAACTCACATAGGTGAATTAATTCATTTAGAAATTCTGAAGTTACATAATTAGGTGCAAAAACATAATAGACAAATCACATTTTGCACAGAAATACAATAAATCATCAAAAACTGAAAAAAAAAATCGCAATAAAACTGATAAATGAAGCAAAAAATTACAGAGGTAGCAAAAATTACAGACTATTCAATAAAAGAAATTGAATACAGAGGTAGCAAAATAATCGAAAATTGTTAACCAAAGCTTATTGTATCGAACTGCAAAACAACTTTCAAATTTATATGATGTGACTTCTGACTTTTTGCTTGCATTCAATATTGTAGAATTAACTCCTCTGTACGAGTAATTGTAAATCCTTCTATACAAATTTGTATTAGCAAAATAATCGAAAAAAACTACTAAAATGACGCCAAAAAACCAAAAATAAATAAATAAATCAAACAATAAATAATCAAGAGTAGCGCTTAAATTACCTAATATCGCTGAAATTCGAACACTAAAATCGCTGAAATTTGAACCCTACGAACCCTAAATCCGCTGAAAGTTCCAGCCTTAAAATCTTTTGAACCCTAAAATCGCTGAAAAATGAAAATAAAAAAATCGACTTGAACTCATGCGAAATTCATGAAAAACAAATCAGAAAATTCGCAAAAATCAAATCACAAAAATCGCAAAAATCAAATCGAAAAATCGCAAAAATTAAATCAAAAAATCGCGAAATTTACTTGAATTTCATGAAAAATTTGAACAAAATCGAATAAAAAAAACATACCTGATTTGAAAATCCTTCAAATTGCAACTTCTATGGAGATTTTTGGGAGTTTGAGGAGAGAGAAAGTTACGGGGCGTTTGGCAAATGGGAATGGGAATTTGGGGAATATAGGGTGGGAGTGGGAATGGGAATTAATAGGTGGGAATTCATGAAATAATCCCAATCCCTTATTTGACATATTTTGGAAATAAGATTGAGAAATTTTAAATCCTATGTTTGGTACGTGGGAATAATAAAGGGATTAAAAGCATACTTTACAAGATTACCCTTTGCATATTAAAAAAGTGTCAATATATGTCACAAAAGAGGGGGTAGTATTGTCTTTTTAACAATTCAGTGAATTCCCCCTAAAATATTACCTGCCCCCCAAGTAATAAAATGTAGGGAATACAAGCTAATTATTCCCAATCCCATTCCCATTTTATATCATAATTCCCACCAACCAAACATGGGTTTATAAAGATTAAGGATTATTATTCCCATTCCCAACCCCATAATCCCACTTACCAAATAGCCCGTTAGAGTTTTTTTTGAGTTTGAGGAGAAAGAAAGTCATGAACGTATAATATATATATATATATATATATATATATATATATATATATATATATATTTATAGGAACAGATTTCCCTTATTAATTTCTTAGGTTCTGGGTTAACAGATAACCCTTGTTAGTTTGCCTACATTCCTGTTGTATATCAGATTAATCATTATACGATTGCTAACAGGTGGCAGCAGGTCCTAGACACATTTTTCACTCGCCTGTTTCTCACATCCTTTGTTTTTTGTCTTTTCTCGTCTTTGTTACTTCTTTTCTTGAAGGGAAAACTTTATCTTTATTTAGCTAGTACTAGCTTTTGGGAAATTGATAAGGTTCAGCTGCTATCAAGTTAATTCTTTGAGTATTTATAGCAGTTGATAGAGAAAATCTAGATGAGTAGCAGGAAACGGGGTCATTATTGCAACAGAGAATGATGTATGGCCTTTTATAGTAAGTTTATTGATACCAAATACTGTTATACTATGTGCGAAGGAAAGCTCAATAGAATTCTAGACATGTACATGTTATCTGCCACAGGGTGCTTTCTATTACTCTAAGGATGCCATGGCCGAAAGGTCTTATTGATTAAGCAGATGACATCAAACCTGTTGTTTTTTTTTTCCCTTCTCTTTGCCATCTTTACCAGGAGTTAGACCTATTTTCTTGTGGGGAAGGTCCTGCTGACAATGATAGATACTGGTGTAGTATCGTAATTTGGTTCTTCATTAAATTGACAAGGCTATGCTGCAGAACTATTTAATTTATAAGGGAGAATGAGGATGACATGTTTTCCTGCCCTCACTTTTGGGGAAAACTCATGATCAGGGAAAAGATGTAGTAAGAGATGTATAAGCTGTTCAAGTTTAGAGATAAGATTAATTTTGTGTGAGGAAATGGTCTTTGTGGAGCTTAAGCTGCCCACCAATCGAGGCATACACAGAATATATACAGAGTAGTAAATAAAATTAGAGAGCATGGCTACAGGACTACTGGAATGATGAAAAGAGAATAAGTTGCTTCTTTTGTTGAGGGAGGTGAAAAACATGGCTGGCAAGTATAGCAGATGGAATGATATGGTTGTCAAGAGAGCATGAATTTTGCTTTTGGGAATGTGCTACTGAAATGCAGGGAGAATCAGTTTGGGGTAATTGTTTGGTGAAGAAGGAAAAACTTGATGCAGAATGTGCTGCTGCTCACAAATTATTTGCAAAGAAGACCGAACATTGACATGTTCTTTGAGTAATATGAATAATTTAAATGTTGAAAGGTGAGGAAACATGATGTGCATGCTTAGCTATAGCTCAACATCATGTTGATAGTGGATATTGGGGCATGTCATACAGTACACCAATGGGATTGAGAAATAAGAAAGAATCTGTGTTTGCTTTCCCAAAGCATTAGTTTTAATACCAGGATGAGGCTACACACATAAGAATCAAGTCCTTTAAGAAAAAGGTGATTTTCCAAAATGAGGTTTAGTTTATGGATGAGAATGAATTTGGACATGTAGAATTCTTCACAAACCCCTTACGGAGCTATTGGAATTCCTGTAACGAAGACTTGGTAGGGATTGCAAATCTAAGTTGTCTTGCATTGTTTAGGAAAATGCTTGTACATGCTTATCTGGATGTTGAAAAGATGAGATAACATCTAGAATTCATCAATACCGCTCTATTCATCCGAAAATGTTGTAAGGATGTAAGTTGTGCATTGCTTTTGCAAATGCTTATCCATGCTAATCTGCGTGTTTAAAAGAGATGGAAATCATAATGTATGGAAGGATTAGACCTGTTATGCTCAGCTGGTTTGTGAAGCTGTCAACTGCAGAGTTGCAGACAGAATTAACAATATAAGCACTGGGCAAGCAAAGTCACACAAACTCTAAACCTTTGGCTTCATGTAGTAGAAATTATGATAGAATTTTTTACTTCCATCAATTTTACAGATCTTATATGAGCTTATACTATGTAATTAGGTGCCATTGTGGTAGATGGTGCTTGATGCCGAGTATTTGGAGGGCATTAAGAGAGATTTCTTCCATCCGTTTCTAGATGATAACTTTGATGATCAAATGCTTGGTCAGTTTCACAGGGCAATAGCTTGGCAATATTTCATTTGATTCTGAAGCTTCAGCTATTCTATATTACCTTTTTTCAAACTCTTTTAAATGATGTTTTTGTTATGTCTGTTTCTTTATATCGTACAATAACTTATGACGATTCATGTTAGCCGATTCCAAATCATTTTGGGACTAAGGCTTTGTTGTTGTTGTTGTTGTTGTTGGTAGAAAGGAATGCTAAATTAAATTAAAACAGAGTTTGTTACAAGAGTTGCCCAGCTAGCATTCGAGTCTAGCAAATTACAGTCATCGAGAAGAGAGTGAGTTTCTAGTTTCTCAGACAAAATTATATTATTACAGGCCAGGGGTGGGGTTTCGGAATATCATTACAGGGTTTCAAGCTTCAGCTATTCAACCATTGGAAGCATGACTCATTCCGCTTGTGTGTTTGAAGCTGAACTATATGGTAAGATCAGAAGGAGAATCTTGAACAGATCAGATAGGCACTGAACAACTGTTTATAACAATAATCATAACCATGGAAGAAATTAATTAGTTGAGATTATGTTGAATTTCGTACAAATGCCTTTACCGGTTCAATGCATGTTGAGATGATATAGCTCAGTAATAGTTTCAGAACCTCTTTTTTCTTAGTCTAAGCCTTGCATTAAGGTGCTGATTTATTACTTCAAGTAACTGTTTTAAATAAGTTTTTCTTTTATTTGAGCGTATCTTTAGGATTTTGTGAAATATTTTTTTCTTGTATGTGCTTTGGCTCAAAGGCTTTCTTTTCCTTTGCGCTGTAGGATTATGATACTTAGGATGTAGCTTCTTGGTCTTAATGAGTATTGTTAAGATGTTATCAGTCTATAACTACTACCCATGATTATTTCCTTTGTTTGAATTTGAGAAATGATCTGTATAATTCTGATATTATGTGCTTCTTATTTGACTCGTATCCCTCAAAACCTGATTCTGAGTGAATTAAGGATTGAAGTTGTTCTTAAGGAATGATTCTAAATTGTAATAATTTGAAAGAATACGAGATTCTAATTAGTAATATATTGAAAGAATACGACTAAGTGTTCACCCCTTTTTTTTTCGCTTAATTAAACCTACATGCAAGGGCGAAGCTACATGGGGGGCGGGTGGAGGCCCGGCCCCCATGCCCCAATTTCGTGGCCTATTATTTTAACTGCTGGCCCCTATAAATTATTAGAATAAATAGTATTCTTGTTAGACATATAGCTGTACTCAACGCTTGCCGCAGTGGTTTAAATCCATTGATTGGGGTTTTAGATTTAGATCTTAGGATCAAGCCCCTTAGTGACAAAGACTAGTACTTTTTTTTTGAAACCCCAATTACTGATGGACTCGACATTGTTGATTTGTTTCACTACTGAATCAGTAATTTTTTTTCTCAATTTTTTATAATAATGTGTGAAATTCTTCTTTATAATGTTAATTGCTAAGGTTTAAGGATTAAATACTAGCATTAGTTTACTCATTACTAAACTTTCTTAGATGATCCATTTAATTTTTTTCCCCTTATTCACCTAAGCTACTTTGTTTGTTGTTTGCTATTTATAAATAAGATAATATATAATTAAAAATGATCTGATTAGATTCATCTCAATTTATTAATAATTCGTAAATAATTTTTTTTGTAATGTTTACAAAGACTAAATTAGATATACTAATGGTTAATGAAATATATTATGAAGCTTGCCTTAATAAAACTAGGAATATATGCAAGAAGAATAGAGGAAGTGTTTGTATATCATCAAAATTGATATGTATGTTATTATTTTGATAATTGTGATATGTAGGATATCCCATAGAAAATTTTCTTAAGTAGAATGCATGGATTAAAAAAGATTCAATGATTTTTTTTTCTTACAATTAAAGTATCAAACTATTTTCACATTAATTTTTTTATTAAAGTGTTAATCGGCCCCTATAGCTTTAAAATTCTGGCTTCGCCTCTGCCTACATGTATGATCCATTACACATGCAGATGGAGTTGGCTGAATTAACCTAAGTAGATCTGTTTTTATTGTCTAAATCACCACTTTGATGTTTAGGATTTCTTAGCTTTGATATATGAACTTCTATTTAGACTTTCTTTCATATTGCAAGTACACTTGAAATGGTTTCGTACATTTCAAACCTGCAAATTTCTTGTTTAAACAGTGTCTTTAACTGCTTTACTGGTATTATTTAAGCTGTTAGTGCTCTCTGCCTTGGTAAGGATTGATTGCCAGAAACTGATTTTATATTGAATGTTTCGGTTCTCTTGCTAATTCGTAACAATTCAGCTCATTTACACGTCTTCCACCAAGAGCAATGAACTATTCGTTGGGGATTTGAGGGCACAACCAAAGCTTACAGTATGTCGGTATCCTTTTAATCTCAGGATGTTTCATAAATGATATGAATGTTTATCGTACAATAAAATCTTTGAAATTCTGTCCAACTTAAAAATTCTGATATTTTCTATTTGTTTTCTGTTATTTGTCATCTCAGAAACTTAGAAGAGCTTTGTGGAAGCAAAAGGGTTGAGTTATCCATTTAACCGCATTTTTCCTCGTTCACTGTCTATAGAATTCATCTTCGGAAAAGATTCAGGAATTTCTGTATACAATACAGCTTTGTCACAAATAGAAAGGTTGTAGTCAAAGCATACTAATTGAACGGCGGAAGACAACTGAAGAAAACAATATAAGTGGATTCTTCAGACTCTGAAGCCAAGTGAACCAGTATTTCAAAGGTGAGAATCTCATCTCATACATTTATTTATTTTAATTAAGGGTTCTTAAAACTTTGAGGTGTTTAGTTCTGAAAAGAATACCATATAAAATTATCAACTAAAGTAGTAAAGTACCTACAAAGCTAGAAAACGTAATAATAATGGTGGTGCTATTACAAGGAAAATTAGTAACCATCATATATGCCTGTGACTTTTGCGGTGTATTTCTTTTTAAAATTGACTGTTCTTTTGGAAGGGGCAACAACCCTATCATCTCTTAAGGAGGTAGGTTATAGTTAAATTACTTAATTTCATAAGTTAATTTTGTCACATTGCTTGACATGAGCCACAATGATTGAGAGTAGTATTGGGATGGGTGACCTCCTAGGAAGTTCTCATGTTGGTTCATGTAGCCGACTCCACTTATGGATTAAGGCGATCAAGCAGAAGAAGATGAAGAAGAAGAAAAGTTAATTTTTGTGTCTGATACTAAGATTCATGTTACAGACGAGAACTTTGCTTCAAATCTAAATTAAAAAAAAAACAAATAATTAAGGGATTAAAGATTATTAGCCATTTTTTAGTATCAGTGGGTTGTGCCTCATGTAGTGTTTTACAGGCATGGAACAACCGCCGTGTTGGGTTGTGCTACTTCGTATGTTGAATTTTTTTCGTAGTATTCATGCTGCAGACAGCTGTGGCTAATGTTAAAAGAAAAACCATGGCAAGCACAGGCCAAGCCCATCACGCTCAATGTTGACTAGGGTAAATACTGGCCTGTTGGACCATGCCATACCTGCCTCTACCCTTCCTAGCTTATTACCAAGATTGACAACTTATGAGCTATAGGAAACACGCCCAGGGATCCTGAGTTAAATGCTCCCTCCATCCCTTTTTATTTGCTACGTGGAAGTTTACTTTATTATGTTATGGATTGTGTAAAGTTGATGAGCGAAAATATTGGCAAGACCAACAATGTTGTTTTTGAGAGTAAATATTAGAATATATGCTTAATATATATTCTGTTATTATTGTAAATATTGTATTTATCTCCTAATTTGTTATGGAGATTATCTTGTTTTTATTCTTCCTTTATTAGCTCCTAGTTTATAGGCTTAGATTGTTGATATACTACTGTAAATATATGCTGGCAGAATCAATGAGAAAAGCACCCGTTTACACTCTTTCATGGTATCAACCTAATTTCGATCCTAAAATCCCTAACAATTTCCTCTCTCTCTCTCTCTCTCTCTCTCTCTCTATCTCGTCTCTTTCTTCCGCTGCTTCTTCTCCATGGCCGAATCCACCACCCAAAAGTTCCACCCTGCTCTTACAATTACCAATGTCAAGTCCTTTATTCCGATTACATTGGATACGGAGCATGGCCTGTATCACTCTTGGGCGGCCTTAATCAAGGTTCTTGTTAGGGTCCATGATTTACATCACCATATCATTCCTCCTACGGAGAACAAGGAAATCGCCGCCTATGCCGCATCCAAATCCGCGGACCTGCTCTTTGGACGCGTCTTGACGCTGCGGTTCTCTAGTGGATTTATGGGACTATTTCCACAGATCTTTTACAGGTTACCCTACTCAAGGATGACATTGCTCAAGGGGCGTGAGCTCGTTTGGAATCAATGTTTCAAGACAATAAAGCTGCTCGAGCAACTCACCTTAAAGAAGAACTTGCTGATCTCAATTTCGGTAATTTTTCATCCATTGATAGCTACTGTAATCACATCAAATCCTTCGGCGATCGCCTTGCTGATGTTGATGCTCCTCTCTCCAATAGCAGACTGGTTCTCAAACTCACTGCCGCGCTCCCGGAAGCTTACGCCGAAATGGTGGACATCATTCAAAATCAGGAGCCTTTACCCTCTTTTGAAAGTTGTCGTTCCAGACTTAAACTCGCCGAAAGAACAATCAAAAACCGTCTGGCGAAGGAAGCAAATTCGGGTGCTCCGACGGCTCTTGTTGCTTCTTCCGGTAACACTACCTCTGATTTGAGCTCTGCTTCTTCATCTCGTCCTCCTTTACGCAGTAACAAACAGAAGAAGGGCAATAAAGCTTTTGGAAGGAAGCCAACTAATGGACACACGGCCCACCCACAAAGCCAAGCCCCTTTTAATTGGCAACACTCTCCGTGGGCCAGTTGGGCTTCATGGCTTTCTCAATGGTCCACCCCTCCTCCTTGCCCATATCCTTCAGCCTCCTAGACTCCTCGCCCAGTTCAGTCTTCTGGGCCTCGCCCTGCTAGGCCTGGAATCTTGGGATCTCGTCCTCAGGCTTACACAGCCACTGCTCCCAGTCAGTTTGGCAGCTACACTCCCACGGATATTGAGGCAGCGATGAGTGCTCTTTCCCACTCTCAACCGGATGGAAACTTTTACATAGATACCGGTGCTGCATCTCACATGACTTCGGACCCAGGTATATTTAATTCCTATTTCAATTCGAGCATTAATAATAACATTGTTGTTGGTAGTGGTCATCTCGTTCCAATTGTTGGTCATGGTAGTTCTATTTTACCCTGACCCTACCTCCCATTTCACCTAAATAATGTTTTACATGCTCCTAAATTGATTAAAAATTTAATATTTGTCCGAAAATTTACCAAAGACAATTCCGTCTCCATTGAATTTGACCCGCTTGGTTTTTCTATCAATGACTTACAGACAGGAACCATACTAGTGAGATGTGACAGTACCAGTGATCTTTATCCTCTTTTCTCTGTAAATCAAGCCTCTACTCCAGTCAATAATTCAGCCTTCACTTCCATTACCTCTGATGTTTGGCACAACCAACTAGGTCATCCCGGTGAAGCTGTTTTTAGTTCTCTTAAGAACAATAATTTTATTGATTGTAACAAGACTTATAAAATTTTTTGTTCTTCCTGTCCACTGGGTAGACTTTCAAAGTTACCTTTTTATGATTCTATGTCACAAACTGCTTCTCCTTTTGATATTATTCATAGTGATCTCTGGACTTCCCCGTCATGAGTACTTCTGGTCATTGTTACTATGTTTTTTTCCTTGATAATTACAGTAAATTTTTGTGGACATTTCCTATTACAAAAAAATCACAAGTCAAACACATTTTCCAATCATTTCAAAATATGATTTGTACACAATTTACTCATAATATTAAAATATTTCAATGTGACAATGGCACAGAATATGTTAATGGCACTCTACAAGAATTTTTTAATACTCATGGCATGCTTTTTTGTCTCTTGTGTCCTCATACATCACCACAAAATGGAAAAGCCGAACGCCACATTAAATCAATAAATAACATTATCCGGACCCTTCTTGCTCATGCGTCATTGCCTCTATCCTTTTGGCATCACTCATTAGACATGGCAACCTATCTCCTAAACATTCTTCCCACAAAAGTTCTAGGTTTTAAATCTCCCACTTAGATTCTATATCAATGTGATCCCATTTACTCGGAATTACGTGTCTTCGGTTGCCTATGTTTCCCTCTCTTTCCATCTACCTCTATTAACAAATTGCAAGAACGGTCCATCCCTTGTGTCTATCTTGGTCCCGCTCCTAATTATAGATGTTCAAAATGTTATAATATGTCTAATGGAAAAATATATATGTGGTCACGTGAGATTTGTTGAGTCCGAATTTCCCTTTTCGAAGCTCCACAGAACTCACACAGACACTTATAATGTTTTCGACACTCCTCCAGAAACTAATCAATTACACAATTACATTTTGTCCTCTCCATCTCCTCCTTCTCGGTCTGGGCCCTCCACCATTGGCCCAACCATTACTTCTCCTGGGCCCTCGCTTTCTCACCCTCACCCTACACACACTACACCCTCTCGCAGCGCACACACTTCTGCTGGGCCTTCCTCTGCTAGGCCTCTCTCCCAGACCACTCCAGGTACTGTCACTCTCTCTTACCCAGCTAATCAGCCCAGTTCGCCACACTCTTCCTCTATTGTGCGAATTGGGCCTTAAATTCAACAAACCCACACCATACTGTCAGACCAGCCTACATCCCTCCCTTCCTCACCTTCAAACACCAATTCCCATAATATGACCACAATAGCTAAACACAGTATAACCAAACCAAATCCAAAATATTTTTTCAATTTTTCGGCCATGACTACCACTAATATATCCCCATTACCAAAGGACCCGATTAGTGCTATTCGCGACCCCAATTGGAAAAATGAAATGTTGGACGAATTTAATGCTCTTATTGCTAATAAAAACATGGGAATTAGTACCTAGGACAAAGGATGTGAATGTCATTAGGTCTATGTGGATTTTTCGTCATAAACGTAAATCTAACGGTTCTTTTGAGAGGCATAAAGCCCGTTTTGTAGGTGATGAGAAAACGCAGCAGCAAGGTATTGATTGTGATGAGACCTTTAGTCCGGTTGTCAAACCGGCTACTATCCGTATAGTTCTCAGCATTGCTATCTCCAAATCTTGGTCTATTCACTAGTTAGATGTCAAGAATGCTTTTTTACACGGTTATCTCAATGAAATAGTTTATATGCAGCAACCCTTGGATTTCCGTGACAAAAGTCCCCTGATCATGTTTGTTTATTGAAGAAGTCTCTATATAGCCTTAAACAGGCTCCTCGGGCCTGGTATCAGCGATTTGCAGATTTCGTTGCCTCTGTTGGGTTTACTCACAGTAAATCCGATAACTCTCTATTTATCTACAATCAGGGATCCAATATGGCATATATATTGTTGTATGTTGATGACATTATTCTTATACTTCTTCTGATAAGCTGAAACAGCACTTCTTGACTTTCCTGGGTGCCGAATTTGCCATGAAGGACTTAGGTCCTCTGAGTTTCTTTTTGGGGATTGTTGTGTCCTGCAATGCTGAGGGTATGTTTCTGTCCCAGAAATAGTATGGTACAGAAATCATTGAAAATGCTAGCATGGCCAACTGCAGCCCATGCGCGACTCCTGTTGATAACCAAACCGAAAATTAGTGCTTCACAAGATTCACCATTTGCGGATCCTACGAAGTACTGTAGTCTGGCCGGTGCATTACAGTATCTTTTACCAGGCCTGACATTTCTTATGCTGTTCAACAGGTCTGTCTGCATATGCATGATCCCAAGTATGTACATATGGTTGCTCTTAAGCGCATTCTGCGCTACTTACAGGGTACATTATCCTATGGACTTCAGTTGTATAAATCCTCTCTTAACAAGCTTGTTTCCTATACTGACGCAGATTGGGGCGGCTGCCTAGATACTAGATGCTCTACTTCCGGTTATTGTGTCTATTTAGGTGACAACTTGGTCTCTTGGTCGTCTAAACGACAACCAACATTGTCCTGTTCTAGTGCTGAGGCGGAGTATCGCGGGGTAGCTAATGTTGTTTCGGATTCTTGTTGGATTTGGAATTTGTTACTTGAACTGCTTTTTCCTATTACTAAAGCTACTCTGGTTTATTGTGACAATGTGGGTGCCATCTATTTATTAGGGAATCCGGTACAACATCAACATACTAAACATATTGAGATTGATATTCATTTTGTCAGAGAGAAGGTCGCTAAAGGCGAGGTTCGGGTTATGCATGTTTCTTCTCAATATCAGATTGCAGATATCTTCACGAAGGGTTTGCCTCGTGTATTATTTGAAGATTTCAGAGCCAGTCTCAGCATTCGTGATTCTCCCGTTTCGACCGCGGGAGAGTATTAGAATATATGCTTAATATATATTCTGTTATTATTGTAAATATTGTATCTTGTATTTATCTCCTAATTTGTTATGGAGATTATCTTGTTGTTATTCTTCCTTTATTAGCTCCAAGTTTATAGGCTTAGATTGTTGATATACTACTGTATATATGCTGGCAGAATCAATGAGAAAGGCAATCGTTTACACTCTTTTAGTAAAGTAACCCCTACAAGTAATTTAAGAGTTACTCGATCGCTTATAATCTCGAGTTACCCCTATAAGTAACCCGACCATATAAGTAATTCGTATGGTCGGGTTACTTAAATTAGTAACACTTATAATCTCGATCGCTTAGGGGTTACTCTCACACTAAAAACGAGCTAATCGATTGAGTAAGTAACCTCTACAAGTAACCTTTGAATAAGTAACCAATGAGTAAGTAAACCCTACAAGTAACCCCTAAGTAAGTAACTCATACAAGTAATCCCTGAATAATTAACCCCTACAAGTAACCCCAGCCATACAGAAAAGTTGCGGATTTTTTTTATAAAAGGTAAAAATTAAAATAGGAAATGCTAACCAATAACAATATGACAGGGGTTTGGTTATTAAATACAGTACCTATGATTTTACTTTGAGTAGATGTATGTAAAAAGTTGATTTATTTTGGAATAATCAAAAAGTCGTTTTAATATTTGAAATACCGATCATTATTCCCGATAATGTTTCTAATTATTATTACTAATGCTTTCATTCATCACAAATATTATGTACAATAGAGAAGTTGATTATATATGTGCATTTGATGTTTTTTTTGAGTCAAAAAGTTGTAAAATTGGAAGGAATAATAATCATTTGCAAGTTTGAACATCTTTCTAAAGATTGGAAGGTTTAGAAAGTTTGACAGAAACTTTAAAAATGGCCTATGAATATTCGGCAAATTTTGTCCACTTACCCCCTACAAAGCTAGTACGTATTTACTTTTCTTAAGGGGTTTCTTCTTTCTTGGGAAGAAGGGCAATTAACATTTCGATTGCACATTGAGTTGCTGGTTAATATCAGGAAAACAAAAGTAAAATAACCATCAAACGAACGTGAGCAAAGTGTATGACAGAATTTGGTGGGATTTTCTTGAAAAAGTTACTGCAAAATTCCAAACCAATGACAAACAATAATGAATTGCATTTCTACCTTGCTTATAACTCATAAGTTCCTTTGCTCCTTAGGAGCAAATGTTGTGCATTCTCTTTTATGTAACATTGTAACATTATGAATTAAACAAATTTAAACCAATTTCTTACTAACAAAATTAGAAAAGGGAAAAAAAAATTAAAAATGTTACTATATCATGCCCATTTAGCCAAAACAGACATACAACCAGCCCCTAAAAGTAATGAAATATGTGAGCCTAATTGAATCCTAGTATTTGCCTGCATCCTTGGATTCATGAAGTCTGCAGCTAGTAGATCAACAAGTGCCATATATATTAGTATCCCTGCTGCAGCCGCCTCGAATATCCCCTGTATGATTAGTGATCGAGGGCTACTTTCGTCGTATACACCGGCAATTGCAATGCCAATGCCAATACCAATTGGTGTTGTAAGTGAGAAAAACAGTGCCATTGTTGCCATAGCTCGTGACTTGAACTTAGCCTGTAAAAAAATGATAATTTCATTAATTTATGAGTGCTATAATTTTTTTAAAAATCATATAATGAATCAAATATTAGGCAAATTTATTAAAATTATGATAATATTGAAAACTGACAACAGAAAAAGTAGAAACAATACACCTTTTCCTTGTTTTCAGTTTTTGGTTTTTTGTTTTAAAAAAAAAAACTGAAAACTGAAAATAAAAAACAATGCCAAAACAAGCAAGTTTAGTTGTTTACCTGAGTGATGCAGCCACCAAGTCCCATGCCTTCGAAAAATTGATGGAAACTTAATGCAACCATTAAAGGTTTAATGGTATCAAGCCTTTGAGATGTTCCCAATGTTATGCCTATTATTACTGAATGGACCACAATTCCCAACTCTAATACCTGAATAAAAACCATCCAAATAATAGTTAATTTGCTAGGTATAAATATTATTGAAGAATATGATTGAATTGTCAAAAAATAAATACTATTGATAAAATCTTAAGTAAAGAAGGGTGTATATATTCATGTTTGTCAGCAACTTTATAATACTACTTTTATGATTGAATTCAAAATTATGATTAAGAGTTTTATATAATTTGAACAAAGTTGAAACTTGTTAGGTGTGATATATAAATTAGTAACCTTTAAGTTGGCACCTAATAATGTTAAAGAATATAGGAGTAAAGAAGAATATGACATCCTTTGCTTCAACTTTTTGACCCTTTAAAGTTTGTTTGAGATACTAAGATTTGTAATCCACTCACTCGTGTTTTAAATATTTTACTAATACAAATAAAAATTTAATTAATACATTTTCTCTTATACTCATAATAAAGTATAGTAGACATTTTAGTTTAAAATATGCTTTCATCTAACTTTGAAATGAAATAAAATTGACTGAGATACTAAGGTTTGTATTCCAGTCACTCGTGTTTCAAATATCTAAATAAAAATTAAATACGTTTTCTCATATACTCTAATAAAGTATAATAGACATCTTGGTTTGAAATATACTTTCATCTAATTTTGAGAAGAAACAAAACTGGCTAAGAAACTAAGATTTGTAGTCCAGTCACTCGTGTTTCAAATATTTTACTAATATAAATAAAAATTGAATACGTTTTCTCTTATACTTATAATAAAGTATATTAAACATCTTGGTTTGAAATATGTTTTCATCTAATTTTTGAAAAGAAACAGAATTGACTGAGATAGATAGATACATACGTATGTAAATATATGATAAAATAACTATTGTATCCTTAAAAAAAACTAACCGGTTTAAAGATTGAAAAATCAAATATTACTAATTGAAGTGTATTAAATAAAATAAAAATTATCACCTGAGCAGTAACACGATGCCTAATAAGTTCAAGCTTACTTAATTGTTCCCCTAATTCATCACTACCTTCACCAACTAAAGAACCACCACCATGACCATGAGTAGCATGAGTATGAACATGCACGTGACCAGCATGTGCACCATTACTCTCTTCATCCACCACTTTACTATTAATAGAAACTTCCTTATTACCATCTTTCCCACCAAAGTGAACCCTTCTATAATGCCCTGTTGCCAACGAATCCACCATTAGGCTCCCAATAGAAGCCACCATCGCGATGAACGCGGCGAAGGGGAACTTCTGCCAAGGAGTTTCCCCTATACAAGGAGACGTCAACCCCTCGAAAGCTTCCGGGAGTATGTGGATGAACCCGGTAGCGAGGATTACTCCTGCAGCGAAGGCCTTGATCATGAAGAATATATCGTTTTCAGGCCGTAAAACGGATATCCGTTTGCCTAGTAGAGGAAGTCCTACCCCAATTGCTCCGGCTCCAAGGATTGCTCCTATGGCGCCTAACTTAAACTTGAGGGTTAAGGACTTGCCGTCGCGGGGTAAGTCATCAGCTTCGCATCTGCACTCAGCTGCTACCATGGCAGGCAGGAGTTGCATAATAGTAAGCACATAGTAAAAAATTGTTTTTGCCATGTTTTTTCCTTTTTTTTTTTTAAGAGATGATTTCTTTTTTTTTTTTTTTTTTTTTTTTTTTTTTTGAACTTATGATTTGAGATATATATTATGAAAGAAGCTGAAGGTTGGTTTTTATAGGAGTTTGAACGGTAGGGTTATGGAAGAAAAGGAATGACATTCACATTCATTTAACAACATTGGATGGTTCATGAGAGAACTAAGAAAGGAAGTTAAAATAAAAGAAATTAAATTATGTTAGATGGAAAAAGGGAAGATCAAAAAGTTACTATGGATAAAAGAGTATCTTGAAAATGTCGACATTATTTGGTGATTATTATAGGGATGTCAAATTTTGTTATTTTTTGATCCATAGCTTTGTTTGCTAGTCCTTTATATCGTTTGAGTTTTCACATTTGTCCAAACATAATTTCATAACAATCAATATTTTTTAATTTTTTTTTTTTGAAACAGACAATCAATATTTTTAAATACATATTAGTAACAATTATTTTTTTAAAAAATTATATTATAAAAGTAGACGTTGTAACAACTCCAACAACATATCACATGATTATGAGAGTGAGAGGTAGCTCAAGTGGTTAGAGCTTTCCTTCCGGTTTCAGGAGATCCAGGGATCGATTCTCACCCCTGTCCTTGTGGCTCTCTAAACACCAAATGAAAACATATTACATGATTATATTTTAAATTACATATTAGTTACAAAATTAAGTCAAAGATAACCTATAGATAGTGTAAAATCTCAAGTGATGCATTTAAAAAAACGAAGGGAGTGTTTTTTTCGTCTTTATTTATTTGGCATACTTTGACCATCACAAGGTTTTAATTAAATTTGATAAATATAGGCGGAGTAAAATAACACATAACAATAATAATAATAATAAAAATAAATAAATGTAATTAAAAGAAGTACGCCATGTAGACAGAGACGACTTTATTGGGGTTGTTTGATTATGGATTATTTGGAATGGGTTGGAATGGAGTTAGAATCCATTACATCTATTTTTTGTTTGGTTAAGCTTTTTAGTAATGGAATTTTATACCGAAGGTGTTCTAACTTTACCCCATAGCCCTAGAATCCCATACCCACCACTCCCCCCAAAGATTCACAATTCATTCTATTAATGAAGTATAAAATCCATTCTAACAATAAATCCAAACAAATTTAGACTATTATTGATTTTAGAATCCAAACCTCTATAATATGAGATCACATACCAATCCATTCCAATTTGATGAACCAAACACCCCCTTGGAAGAGTATAATTCCCTTTCCTTTTTTTTTTTTTTGTTTTTTCTTTTTTGCGCCACTTGCTATTTTTAGAGGAAAAAAAAACCCTACTCTTTCGCTTTTGTGTTCCTCATTATAATTTTATCAAAATAAATTAATCATCCACTTGCCCCACATAATATTATAATCCATCCGTTCCTAAATAAGTGATACACTTTCCTTTTTCGGTCGTTCCTAAATAATTGACACATTACTAAATATGGCAAGGATCCATTATTATTTAATTGTTTTTCTATCTTACAGAATGGCCCACCACTTTAAGGTTTAATTTATATTAAAATAACTTTCACCCCCACTCAAACATTTTTACTAACTCCACTGTATAAATATTCCAGTAATTTCACTTTATTAATTATAATAAACAATTCAATGAAAGTACCTCACTCAAACATTTCTTAAACTCCATGCCCATTTCAATGTCATCTAAAGTTTAATAGTAACTAAATACTCTCAAAAATTTACGAACAATCAGTAATATAAATAAAATAAAGGAAAAATTGATTCTAATAATCCCACCTTTGACAAGTTCGCTGATAATAATCCCACCTTTATAGGGGATCTTCTTTTATTGGTCCCTAACTTGTTGGTGACTGGTTTTAATAGGTTAAGATGCCATGTGTCATTTTGTAATTGGTTAAAAAAAATTAAAAAAAAAAACCCACCACCTACCAGCCCTCCCCCACCCACCGTGAAACCCTCTACTTTATCCTAGCCCCACCAAAACCGGTCGGCAGCCACCCTAAACCCCCGAAAACGGCCAGCCACAGAACCCCCCAATACCAAAAACCACCCCGCCGACCTAAAGTCACCCCCGAAATCACATTCTGAACCAAATCTCATCCCCGAAACCACCATAAGCACCACACCCACCACCTTGAAACTGCCGAAAACCCCCCAAAAACCGTCAAAAACCGCCGAAAACCGTCGAAAACCTCTTCAAATCCTCTGATCGTCCCCTCGTTTGCTGCTGCTCTTGCTATTCCTGCTGCCTGTGTTTGATCTGGGTTCGAGCTGGATTAATTTGGGTAATTTTGTTGGGGTTTTTGGTGGTTTTAGGGGGCGGTTTTTGGTGGAGGGGCTGGGGGTGTCGAGATGGATCTCGCCGTCGAGGGAGGATTTGGCGAACGATGGGGGAGTGTGGCCTGGTCGTCGGCGGGGCAGAGGGTAGGGGGCAGCCGGCAGAAGGCTAATGGCACGGACTGGGTTTTTCTTTTCTAATTTTTTTTTTTAAATTTTTTACCAAAAAAAAATTTAGTTTTTTTTTTAATTTTTTTGAGCAATTATTTAGTAACACTTGTCACTCAAATTAAAAATGAAAGAGTTTACCCAATGTACAGGTTACCAGTCATAAGGGACCAATGAAAAAAGATCTCCTATAAAGGTGGGATTATTAAATAATAATCTAAAAGTGAGATTATTAACAGCGAACCGACCAAAGGTGGGATTATTAGAATCAATTTTTGCTAAAAGAAAAATTTTGGGGATATCATCTAAAGTTTCATCACAAATTTTTTTATGTGCCTGGTGTTGTTGGAATAAAGAAAGGAAATTCAAAGGGTCAAATATGGGCGCCCGACTAGGTGCGAGAAGATTCGCAAAATCTGAAGTTCCGCCGCCTGATCGGGCGCGAGAGCAACCCAGTTTTTGGCTAGGTTCTCGCCCGATCGGGCGCGAGATGACGTTGGAAAAATTGTTGTTTGTTCGCCCGATCGGGTGCGAGAACGTACAACCAAGTTTTTGATTAAGTGCTCGCCCGACCGAGCGCAATTTTGTCTGTTGGACTCCAACAGTTCCCTTGGATTCCTCTTCTTGTTTGATTTCTTGTAACCCCCCATTTAAGAGGTTGATTATGATGATTAAAACACTATCATTATTCTGATTTTATTCTTCTCGTTGATGGAAAATATTCCTCCATGATCTTCCACCTTCTTTCATCCATCATTATAAATTGAAGGATGATTTTTCTGATTTGATACACTTGAATATACACAAAAACACAATAGCTTAAACACAATCTCCATTGGGCATAAGATACTTGACTCCAACCTTCCACCCAAAAGTGCCTTTGTGTGGAAGTGGTGTGTTAACCTTAGGGAACGTGCCAGCGAATACAATTGAGCACCATGGTTGCGCTGGAATTTCGTTTTCAAGTTAGTTATTTGCATCACGACACACCGATTTTGTTCATTTGTTTGTAAGATCACATTTTCGATCTTGCTTAATATTTCTATACTATTTGTACTAGACTACTCCATTATTTATAACAATTTGAAAACGAAATTATGTCTATTGCAAATTTGCAACTAGTGTTATGAACAAGACCCTTCCCGACCTCTCTAAGTTGGAGCCTCTTGATGGTAACAATTACAAGAGATGGTCACAAAAGTTAATAATCTTCTTAGAACAATTGGAAATAGATTATGTTTTGAATGAAGATGTTATTAAGACACTCAAGAAGGCGGAAGAAAATGCTAAAACAGCTACAACCGCAATTTCGGCGGCCATAACGGAAGCCTTGAATAAGAAGGAGAAGGACAACAAACTTGTTCGTGGCCATCTCCTGAATCACATGAACAACACTTTGTTTGATTTGTTTGTCAATTTCAGGTCAAGCAAGGTCATATAGGATTCCTTGGAGAAGAAATATGGAGCGGATGATGCCGGGAAAAAGAAGTACGTGGTGGGCAAGTGGATCAACTTCAAAATGGATGATGAAAAGTCTATCATGACTCAAGTCCATGACTATGAGAACATGGTGATCGATATCCTTGGTGAAGGCATGAAGATGTGTGAGACTCTTCAAGCCAAAGTCCTCTTGGAGAAATCCCCTCCCTCTTGGAAAGACTACTGTAATTCTTTAAAGCACAAGAAGAAGGACATGACCCTCCAAGAACTCATTAGTCACATGAGAACCGAAGAGGCTAATCGCCTTAAGGATAAGTTTGAAAATTTATCTCTTAATTCTTCTAAAACTAATCTTGTTGAGTCTCCTTTGAATGTGTCTAAAAATAGGAAAAACTCTAAGAAGAAGGGAAACAACAAGTCCAAAAGCAACTTCACTCATAACAACAAAATCCAAAAGCCTAAGGGAGCATGCTATGTGTGTGGAATCATTGGACACAAAGCATACCAATGCAACCGAAGGCATGGAGCCATGAAAGATGAAAATACCTCCCAAGCCAACATTGTTGAAAAGGAAGATATCATTGTTTCGATGGTGGTTGAAGCCAACTTGGTGGAAAACAAAATTGAGTGGATTTTGGACACAAGAGCATCAAGGAATTTTTGTGCAAACAAGGCTTTGATGACCAAGTTTGAAGATGAAACCGAAGGCGATCATATCTACATGGGCAATAGTAGCACCGCCAGAGTCCTTGGAAAAGGAAAGGTCCATCTCAAACTTACCTCCGGAAAAACTTTATCTTTAAATAATCTGTTGTATGCACCTTCTCTTAGGAGAAATCTTGTCTCGGGAGCCCTTCTCAATAAAGCCAGCCTAAAACTTGTTTTTGAGACCGACAAGATTGTAATGACTAAGAATGGAGACTTTGTTGGGAAAGGTTACCTCAATAATGGCTTGTTTGTTTTGAATGTTATGAATAAGAATGGAAGTACTTCTTTTGCTTATATTGTCGAGTCTTTTAATGTCTTGCACAATCGTTTGGGTCACTTAAATTCTTCTTATTTAAAAAAGTTAAAGGACATGAATTTGATAAATTTTTCAATGGGTGACAAACTTTACAAATGCCAAATTTGTGTTGAGGCCAAACATACTAAGAAACCATTTAAGCAAGTGGTCTCAAGAAGTACAAAATTACTTGAATTGATTCATTCAGATTTAGCGGACTTTAAAAAATGCACTAGTAGGGGTGGAAAAAAACTATTATATTACTTTTTTGATGACTTTTCTCGTTATACCAAAGTTTATTTGCTTAAAACTAAAGATGAAGCCGAAAGTGCATTTTGAAAGTACAAAGTCAAAGTTGAAAATTAATTGGACCTAAAGATCAAAAGAGTTGGAACCGATAGAGGTGGTGAATATAGTAAAAATTCTTTAAAAGATTTTTGTGAGTCCAATGGCATAATACATGAAACTAGTCCACCTTACACACCCCAATCAAATGGTATTGCCGAAAGGAAAAATTAATTTTTGAAAGAGACTATGAATGCCATGCTTCTTAGTTCCGGTTTATCCGATAACTTGTGGGGAGAGGCGATTCTTTCCGCTTGTTATGTACTCAATAGAGTGCCCCATAAGAAGTTGGAAAAAACCCCCTATGAACTTTGGAAGGGATATAGTCTAAATTTAAAAATTTTGAAAGTGTGGGGG